ATACGATATGCTCTGCCAACTCTTTTTTTTTATATTTTTTTTAATGCAACTGGCTAATGAGTGAGTATAGCGAAGCGTCGAAATATGGAAAAAGATAAAGAGTCGATTTTACATATGCATATCTCATATGCATATGCACACGGTGACATTTTCGACACTGACGAGGATAAATTCATAAGCAACGAGTAAATATATTCCTGCTCAAAAGACTCGGGCTAACGTATCTTCGAAAAAAAAAAATTAAAATAAAATAAAATAAGCAATTTTATGTCGCATGAGAATATGTTGGCGACTGCGTTCTACACATGCGACAGCAGTCGTTCCGCTGTGATAGAAAAAAGAATTGTCGCGTGATACGCAACGATATCGATCAGGTGTTTCGTTCGAGAGCCCGTATAATTCGCGTTTCTGCAGTGGCGAACGGCGCGAGCAAAAAAAATAGAAAGAAAAAGGGAAAAAGATAACGACAGAGCGAAACGGAAAATAGGTTGAAATGCCGGCGTAAACATTCGTATATATAAATAAATGTAAATCTGCCCAGGGCGCGCGCGAGAGCGTTATATGTATAAAGCGGGCGAATAAATGTAAATCTCGCTTTTCGGAAAATGACACGCTCGAATAAAATCTCCGAGCGATATTTCGATTCCTCCAATAAATGGGAAGGGTAGGCAGAGTCCGGAGAAGGAACGGGTTTAACGATCAACGTGGAGTAGTTTTGCATGCGCGGTAATTGATGGTTTTGCTGCGCAGAGCCAAGCTGATTACGCTATGATGATAATTAACTGCGTTTATAAGCGCGTTATGAGCGCGCGTGCTGCGGCGTGGCTTCGTGCCTTCGCGGCGCGTTGATTAAAGCTCGAGTGACGCGGTGCAAAAACGACCCCGACAACCTTTAAACAAAATTCTCCGGCCGGGTATGAGATCCCGGCTGAAGGAGAAAAAAAGCATATTTTATCCTTTTTGAGCGGCGCGCAAACCATCCGCCGGGAATGAAAAGGAATCCGCCGTGTCGCGCGATACGTTAAACTGATTATCGACGAAGATATATATATATGTGTGTAGTGTGTGTATATATATATTTGTGTGCATATATATATATATATATATATATATATATATCGTTACCCCTTTACGCCCCTCGGCATCGACGATAGCTTTTACGGAATTCCGCCTCGTGTTTAGAAATGTAGATAGGATAAGATGCTTAACTACGGAATATAGTTGTTCAATCCATTTGGACTGAACTGACGGAATTCCCGTGGAAATTCAAATGCCTAACTCATGAAATGTAAAGTAGAGGTGCTAAGGAATTCGACTTAAAAAACGATTCTTGACGGAATATTTCGGATTTGGTGAAAAACTTTAAGGACGCGTCTTCACTTTGAAGTCACTTTTTACCTAGCAAATATAAAGTTAGAGGGAAGCTGCCATCCGAGCGATCCTTAATGTTGAATCTCTTGACAAACAAATTGCCCGGTGAAGCGTCGGCGTCACGTTTGAAAAACATGTCTCAACAGAGAGGGGCGTCATGTGCGAACGGTGTGCTTTTTACCTTAAATGGATATGCGACGGCACGGGAGATGCGCGCGCGAGAGGTCGACTGGCATGATTATTCTCGGCGGTTATTACACGTTGCTCTATTAATTTCTCCGGTTGTCTCCGCAGCAGACGATGACGTCTGAATCGGACATCGGCGTCCCGATTCCAACCGCATGTTGTCGCATACGTAATTTGCGCCTCGTGCACGCCGATGAGTCGCGTCGCTCTCCAGCTGCCAGCGGCGGCCTCGCCGAACTGCATAAATAATATCGAGACGCGGATGGTCTCTAAACCCGTCAGTTCGCGCGATACTATGCATTGATAGCATCACTTCGTCCGATAAGTTTGTTGGAAGTTTATAGGGAGGAACGGAGCAGGATAGAAGTAACAGAAGTTTAAGAGGAAATAGATAAATAAGTTCGTGCACGTTATTTCGATCGACAAAATCCGTAGGAATAGTTTATATCTCTATTTCCGTAAGAACAAGATAAAAAAATTCGAGATACAGGCATTTGATAATTGAAGTGAAATTAAATTGGACGAAGTATGTGAAGAGAAAAAACGTGAATAAAAAATAGTATTACAAGATACACAACAATGATTTAGCTCAAGGATGGACTGACTGAAAGAAAATAATTAATATAAATAATATAAAGAGAGAGAGAGAGAGAGAGAGAGAGAGAGAGGTGGCAAGACAGAAATTTATTGTGTTCTGCAGAGAGTCCTTCGGTGCAAGTAGAAATATATACAGGTTATATACAGCAATATATTATACAAAATTAACTGAAAAGGAGAAATATAGAATCAAGTATCTATTACAATTATAAAAAGTATATACTAAGAGAATTGGAACTTTCAATTTAGAAGATAAAAGACACTAGGCGTTTCTCTCTTAAAAGACTTGGGGGTTCGCAAGTTTCTCTAGATAATAAATCCCACCATCTAGCGAGCTTCTTAATAAAAATGATTGATAGGCACTTCCAGTTTGGAATGAACTGATTTGCCGGGGGATAATAACGGTATTTAGTTCTTTCCGGTCAAATCATTGACAGTATTAAAATAATAAAGAAGATAAACAATAAGCGCGAGGTGAGAGAGGAAAAGTCTATTTGTGGCCTAAAACTCATTAATAACGACTGGATCTCGTAATGCTGCGTAATGCGGCTAAAATAAGAAATGAGTAACGGGGTCAGGCGGTGCGTGGAGGACGCGAGCAAGTTCCGCATTCGCGGGAATCGCATAATCCTTGGGGGTTCGCAAGTTTCTCTAGATAATAAATCCCACCATCTAGCGAGCTTCTTAATAAAAATGATTGATAGGTACTTCCAGTTTGGAATGAACCGATTTGCCGGGGGATAATAACGGTATTTAGTTCTTTCCGGTCAAATCATTGACAGTATTAAAATAATAAAGAAGATAAACGATAAGCGCGAGGTGAGAGAGGAAAAGTTTATTTGTGGCCTAAAACTCATTAATAACGACTGGATCTCGTAATGCTGCGTAATGCGGCTAAAATGAGAAATGAGTAACGGGGTCAGGCGGTGCGTGGAGGACGCGAGCAAGTTTCGCATTCGCGGGAATCGCATAATCCTTTCCTAATGACGCGACCGTTTTTAGCTTTAATACTCGCACCGACACGCGCGGCAATGATACGGCAGCGAATATCCCCGGCCGCATTCCCCGCCCCCCCTGCGCGGTTTGCGTATTTCGTCGCGCGGATTAGCAGTCCGCGCCGAAACGTATGTAAAGTCGCGCGCTATATACGGAGTACGCGAAAAGGAACAGACTCGAGATTCGCTCTGGATTGCGCGAGAACGGATATCCGCTGTATCCAACTACGCTCATCCGTTTAGTGAGTATATCTTTGATATTGGAGCAATTAAAGTCTTGCAAATTTCAGCTCCGCTCGAGAAGAGTCTCTCAAAATTGCGTGTGCGCGTTTCCTCAGGAGTCTTCAGGAATTTTTTACTAACCCTTTGTCGTTTGCAAATGTCACACGAAAATTATCTCGAGAAATAAATATATCTTTCAGATTTAGTTTTCGACATCTGTCATGTTGACATACGTATCGGTGATTTCGGAACACTGTGTACGTGGCTTAATGCGGACATACGGAGTGCATCAGCGCGGCACTGGTTCGACGAGGCGAGGCGAGCTTTCGAAATAAATCCCTCCGTACGCGTAAATCACGCGAGCTCTTTTTTTCCCCCTTCCCTCCCCCGAAACGCCCGTTAATATTCCCGGCATTTTCGTGCGACTGTCACGCCGGGCGATCGATTCCGCTGGATTTTTAGACTTCTGTTGACCCGGATTGTTATCGCAAGAAAAATACTCTTATCAATCCGACGGGATCGCGTTCCCGTGATCGTGCATGAACGATGAATCTCCAGATAAACGAAGCCAAACGCGATCCATCAGATCACGGGGCAATCTTGGCCGAACCTGCGCGCTCGATCCGATAAAAAAAACTCGCTTTGTTCCGCGCGAGGATTGAAACTACGTGGAGCACGTAAAGAGCGTGTTTAACAACGCTACGGTAGTATCGATTACTAGTTACAACGGGGCATCTTAACGAAGAGAGAAGGAAAAAACATCACCAGGGACGATTTCGCAAAATCCGAGGAACATACGAGGGTACGCCCGGCTTCACCCGATTGACATAGAACCTATATCAAGACCGTCTGGGTCGATATCGAATTTTTCCGCCGATCTACCGAGGAGAACCCAGCTCTCTCTCTCTTCGAAACGACGCCAGGCGTCTTCGCCCATTTCGGGGATCAGCCATCCCGTTTAGGTTTTACGGCGTACTTTGGGCCACGGCGCGCTCGGACTCGTCCGTGGACGACGGCGTGCTCGGGCGTTTCCATCTCGAATAGAAGTTTTTACGCCCCGGGAGCTTATTATCCGCGGAACAGCCGCGGGCGCTCGTATTTCCGGATATAATTTAACCGGTCGGGCGTTTCAGCTGCGCGCGGCAGGCTTAATTTCGCACCTACGTGCGCGATCGCGGCCAACGAAAACGGAAATAACTTCACCCTCACGTTACGAGCGTGGAGAGAGAGAAAGAGAGAGGGAGGGAGGAAGGGAAGGAAAGGGAGAGGGAGAATGAACGAGCGCGTTGCTGCTCGTCGGCCACGGCGCGGTGAGCTTCGCGGAAAATAATTCAACGCTCTTGTCGTAAAACCGGCATAAATTGGGTGCGGTGTGCACCAGACAGTATCGATTTCCCGAGGCAACTGTCGACAGCGTTCTACGCTAGACATAGACTCGGGGAGAGTTTGTCCATTCTCCGATAGTGATTCTCGAATGGACGAAACTCAAATGGAATTGACGTGCGAATTTTATTCTTCGAAATTATTCCCGAAGTTAGAGTGTACAACTATCGCGATATTTATGTGCGACTTCATATAATACTTTTTTATCTGCCATAATTAATCAAACTTCTCCGTTTATTGTTACAGACGTCGCGACGCAGCTTTACCGTCATCGGCGTTCTCCACCTGCTCGTCCTGGTCGGCCTTTTCGCCCTCGGTACGGCCGAGGCACGGACTTTCTGCCCTAACGGCTGCACCTGCGACGACGACACCCTGGTGGTCTCCTGCGTGGGCGCCAATCTGGACGTGATACCTATCGCGCTGAATCCCAGCATTCAGCGGATAGTGCTGAAGGAGAATCGCATCAAGATCGTGGACGCGGCAGCCTTCCAGTTCTACGGCGATCTGAAGAACGTCGATCTCTCCAGCAACCACCTGTTCACCATCCCCAACGGTAGTTTCGATGCCCAACGGCACCTCGTGGAGCTCCATCTGAAGCACAACAAGATCTCGGCGCTGACCGAGAAGACGTTCCAGGGCCTCAAATCCCTCACGGTGTTGAATCTACGGGACAACTACTTGGAGACGCTGAAGAACGGCCTATTTGCCTACCTGTCGAAGCTCGAGGAACTCGATCTCGGCCAGAATCGCATATCGAAGGTGGAGCCAGGCGCGTTTCAGAAGTTGGGCACCCTCCGGGTGCTGTATCTCGACGACAACCAATTGCGAACTATTCCGTCGCCAGCCCTAGCGCCGTTGAACGCCCTCGCCGAGCTTCACATCGGCTGGAACGCCTTCTCCGCGTTGCCGGACGACGCGTTCAAGGGTCTCGAGCAACTGGCGGTGCTGGATATCATGGGCGCCGGACTGGACAACATCAGCGACGGCGCGTTTCGCGGCCTGAACGCCCTTCGCACCTTGAAACTGGGTGCTAACAAGTTGCGCGAAGTGCCAACGAAGCAGCTGGCGGTATTGCCACGCCTGGAGGAGCTCACCTTGGGCCAGAACTTCTTCACGATCCTGCGATCGGGAGCCTTCCAAGGTCTGTCGACGTTGAAGAAGCTCGACGTGTGTGGCGCCAAGCTGCTTACCACCGTGGAAAAGGGGGCCTTCTCGGATAATGCCAATCTAGAGACTCTCGTATTGAATAATAATAAACGGCTGGCCACCATGGAGGACGGTTCTCTGGCCGGCTTGCCGAATTTGAGGCATCTGATGCTGCGCGACAACGCCTTCGTCACGTTCTCGGAGTCGTTGGTCGCTTGGAACGAGCTACGCCGGTTGGATCTAAGCGAGAATCCGCTAGTGTGCGATTGCAGTCAGCTCTGGCTGGCCGAGATACTCATCCCGAGGAACTCGAGCTCGGTGATATGTGCCGAGCCACCCGAGTCCAAGGGCAAGCCCATCAAGGGCATGAGCGCTGACGAGTTAGGCTGCGCCTTCTCGGATCCGCGCAAGCAGGCTCTGCTAGTGACGGTGTGCGCCGGCGGATTAGCCCTCTTCGCCGGCCTCGCGCTGTTCCTGTACTATCGATGTCGCAGACGCGTGCGGGACGCGCTCAAGGACTACAAGTGGAAGAATCGTGCGATATCGCGGAAGGAGCACGAGTACCAGAAGACCTTCAGCGACGACGAGTACATCGTCCGCTCGGCCCACGCCCATCACCATCACCATCACCATCAGACACCGCAGTCCCAGCCGGTGCCCACGCATCATCATCATCATCATCTTCAGCAGCTGCAGCAGCAGCAACAGCAGCAGCAGCAGCACGCACAAATAGCAGCCGGTATTAAGCCAATACCGGTGACGGAGCTGTAGCTAGAACTTCGGGCGGCGAGCCCCGGGACCGGCGGGGTTTGGTTCCTGCCTCACGGCAGCACCACCCTCGCCGAGGGCTTCACCTACATCGATGGCGAGACGGCGCGCCAGATGCGCCGCCCGGGGACGCTGCCCGTTGCGAACAACGCGTCCGGTCACCGAGGAGGAGGAGGAGGAGGAGGAAGTAGCGGAGGGGGAGGAGGGGTCAGAGGTGTCTTGGACGACGGCACAGCCTCGCTGAGCGCAGCGCCGATCGACGGGGTCACGTCTAGCGGCACGAGATCCCATTATTCCAGTCACTCCCTGCGCCGTACGCCACACTCGCAACCGCAACTCTCCGCCAGAGAGCCGGACGATCGGATACGAACTCTGGAATCCGGACTTCAGAACGGAATCCCGGCCGGTGGTCGCCATCAGCCATCACCGCCGCCGCTGCCCTCCAGACATCAGCCCAACTGCGGCCAATCGTCGTATCCCACTCTGCCGGTCAACGGCCACGCCGCTCATCATTATCGTCACCACACGAGAGAGCGCGAGAAAGACAGGTCGTCCGCCCGCGAGAGAAATCGCGAGCGGGACGCCGGTCCGCCTCCGCCTCCGCCGCCGCCACCGGTAACGTCGCACCGGTCCGACAAGCACAGGGAGGCCCAGTTGGAGATGGAGTTGCGTGACAGCCTTGACATGGGCGTGATCGGCACGTACCGAGCGTAGACGATAAATCGGACGCGTCGCGTTGCAGATCGAGAAAACGGGAGACGGGATTTGTAGCCCAGAAAAAAAAATCGCGATCGCACGATCACCGTGGACTCCTCCGCGTTGTTTCACATGGAAGGAAATCGCAGTTGACAAGTGGGAAAGATGCTGAAGGAGGCCAGCGAAGACCAATCAGAAGAAAGTTCCTCTTCGTCGCGCAACACAGAGAAGAATTGAAACTGGTGAAACGGGAAGAAGACTGACGAAACGTTGTCGAAGAATATCAAGAAGCGAGACCAAAAAGATCACACCGAAAGTGTGTTCGCCATATCGCCACGATATACAATCTATTCGAGACTTCTATTCGTATACGATCGAAATATTAGTATCGTCGTGGACCGGCCATCGTGGATCAATGACGCCGCGATTAGCCAAAAGCCAACGATCAGTGCTAAAGGGACATTTGTTAGTTTATAATTTTATTTAAGTTCTCGAAGAGAAGAAATGAAGCTGAGTTGTTAGATATAACGTCTAATCGCCTTCACGATATATCGTTGTCAGAAAAAAAATATTGAACATTTATTTGATACTTGTGAGGGCTTTATAGTGTAATTTGAGTGCCGCAAAGTCTAAATTGTTCGCAGATTATATTTTTAAAAATATGTTTCTAAATTTTTATTTTTCCAATTTTTTTAAAAATCGCCTTTATCTTCTTTCGATCTGTAATGATGCATCAAGCAAGCAAAAAACCAATGGGCTCCCCATCGTAAAAGGTGCGGGTAATACTTCGCGTTAAGTATATATCCGTGAAAGATGCCGCATCTTTTTCGGAACGAGATGGCATTCCGAAAATTATACACCTCGTCTATAACCCTAAGCGGTCCTTAATAAGCCCATCTTCCCGCGCGACTGCTCGAAGATTAATACCCTCTCTACGTCACCGTGGGGAGTCGTCACCTCAGAATCCCGGGAAAAAGAAGACCCCAACGGGCACGGGAATGACTTTCGCCAGGATTTTTATCACGTCCGTCTTATCACTGATGACCGCAAGATCAGCACTGTTGAGGATGAGTGATGCCAAACGGAAATCCCTTGGCGGGTGGATATAACCCGTGGGAAGACAGGGTCGGTCCACGATCCCCTCCCCCCCTCCCCTCCCTCTCCCTCCCCGGAAATGACGGGCCATCGGCCACGTGGAGCCTGTTGTGTTCCATGCGATACATACATACACAATACACGCGTAAAAATTCTATACGCGCGGTCGACCACTTGACGATCGTGCCGAGACCGCCGAGCTCGATCGAAACCGAAGTTCGATAGTGCATCGGTCTACGCCGAGTCACTCTTGAAGCCGATTCGAGGGCGAGAGCTTAACGAGTCGTACGGCTCCGAGGATCCGGAGGATCACGGTTCGGGGAACCGAGAGCGACTCGTTAAGATCCATCGATCGCCGCCTCGGTCGTTTTATTCCAGGCGGGCGCGCAAACGAGAGTTCGTGTCGCGCGAGACGAGACGTGTATCATACGCGAGGAGATTGACCGTACTATATAAGCAACGTAGAACGCAGCTATATAAATATATACATATACAGATCTATATATAAATAAAAAAAGTATATATATATATATACATAAATTATATATATATTCTAAACGGTCGAATTATTTTCTAAATAAAAACACCAATGTACAGAGGCACGACGGAGACGGTATAGTTGAGCTAGTGTCAACGCGTCCTCGACTATCTTTAACTTTAAGAGATTCTAGATCGTCGTCGAGTTCCCGGATATCTGCCTACGAAAGTGGAAAGGAGAGAAAGATAAAGAGAGAAGGACAAAGAGAGAAATAATTGGTAAGCGGGTATCCGTATGCGATTTGATCCCTCGAGCGTCGAGAGATCGCGGGGACGGAGAAAACTATCAAAATGTTGTCTGATATCGCGGCGCGAATTAGCGATGTAAGGACGGTCGTTTCTTCTTTCTTTTCCTCCGATCGATATGTAAGTTAAGGGTAAGATGGCGTTTAGGGATTTAACCTTAAGAAGGTTTACGCTGTTGTTAGGGAACCGCGCAGGTTTCTAAAACGCGGGTATCGTCCGTTTCCCTCGTTCCCGCGGATGGGTGTCTTTCAGATCGTGAGGTCACGTCGATCTCTAAAGTGGATATCAGGGAATTCTCGAGCGGTAATACGTCGCAATGCGCGTTTATACTTTAAGGATCGATCTGAAACGCGATATTTTCTAGAAAAAACTGAAATCTCCTTATTGACGCTGTCGCTACCAAAGCTCTCGTTTCTCTCGGCTAGTAAATAACTGGTAGATAACTAACGGATAATTTTAATAACGATTAATTATTAAATTTATTATTAGTAAATGGGCAATGACTATTTTTATACAATCTTCCGAATTTCGATTTTGTTCCTCGAAGAACGTACGCGTCGTGCTCATCAATCGCGAGAGGCATCATGTATCCCCCACGGGGAGAAACCGAGAACAGAGACACGATCCTCCCGTTTTGTCGCGACATCGGGGTTCGAATTCTCGTGAGAAAGGCTACATCTCCGCGCGGATACAGTGGACCGGATTCCAGCCAGGCTCCGGTCCGCACACCGTCGAAATACTGCCGTTTAATCGCCGCTGAATCACGGCATCGGTATCAGCCACGTGGGTAATTTTCCGGTCACTTTTACTCTCGATATTACACGGGGTAGCAATTTCCGCGGTGGCGGCGGCGGCGGCGGCGGGGCATCGAAAATCCCGCAGTCCTGATAAATCGCGGCTGCATTAAAATGCACGGGGCGCGGCCGAGTTTAAGTTAGTTCGCCGACCGGCGTAATGGCCGCGGTGGAGAGTACGGGAAAGCGAGGAGAGGAGAGAGAGAGAGAGAGAGAGAGAGAGAGAGAGAGAGAGAGAGAGAGAGAGAGAGAGAGAGTGAGAGAGCGGAGAACGGGGGAGAGGCGAGGTGTACGGCGAAGATGTACTTTACGGAACGAGATTATTTTTCCGCCCGAGTGTACCCAGTGGAATTCCACGGTCACCCGGCTTGAGAAAGGTGACTGCACCTTGAATCGACTCCGTCGGCGGCGGTGGCGCGGTGCAACCGCTCGCTCGCTTGCTCGAATCGCTCTTTCGCTGCTGGGCGTGGAGAGACAGAAACAGAGAGCGAGGGAGAGAGAGTGGCGGAATTTGAGCTCCGGTAGAATCTGCAACGGGTTCTCGAGGATTAGGCTTCGAGGCGTTAACTTCGCGACACATCGGAAATCGGACGGAAATTGAACACGGTTTAGTATTTGCAGACGACGCGTGTTGATTTGCACTCTCTCTCTCTCTCTCTCTCCCCCCCCTCTCTCTTTCTCTCTCGGACTACATCGCGTAATGTCGCGATTACTTCCGGCGCGATTGCTTCTTTCGGTTGACCATCCAGTCCCGTTAATACAATCCGGAATTAATGCGCTTGGCAAACTTTAATTCACAATATTATACATTAAACGCGGAGCAACGTACGCTAAGAGTCGAAGGAATAAATTTTACCAAATAAAATACCGGGCGCGGTAGCGATAGCGGGTATCGGACGTGATTTATCGGGGGTAAATTACGGATGCATCGAATGGCGAAGAAAGAAAGTGGGAGTGAAAGTTACTATCGATAATGGAGCAACGCTGCCGCTGCCGCCGCCGCCGCCGCCGAAGGAAGATATATTGCTCCATTTTTAGGTATAACCGCGTAGAATTCTCTCTTCTCTACCGTGGGGATGCGTCTGCACATGTCTCAAGGACACTCATCCTCGTAAAACCCTTTCCACCCCGTTGACGCCGATTTGGCATTCGGGGAATTTTATTATTTGATACGCGACGCGAATTTGTCAGGTAGAAGCGAGATTTACAGCGTTCGACTGCGTTCCGAGATAGAGTTAAACTTGTACATTGTCACTTACCAATACCCTCCGTGTGCATACATAGGTCTACCTAACAGCTACTTGTAACTTTAAAAAACTGCAAGCCTGCCTATCTGGTTCTCCTCTCTAAAAAATAGTAGGTGGGAAAAGGGACTCAAGGGCCCAGAGCCGTTACGAAAGATCAATGTATCGTCGAATGACGAACGAGTCAGATCTCGCATAGACCCACGTTTCAGACCCACGTATGCACTAAACGGGACCTTCTTCTGTAAATAACAATTTTGTTAATTATTTATGATAAATGTTGTTTTTAGTCAAAATAACGTTTAAAAGATTTTGACGAATAGTTGCTTCTCTATTTAGTTATTGGTTATTGCCAAAAAAATAAAATTCCGGATGGCGGACGAATTTTTTTTCTACATATTCTACATATTTTATTATACAAATTTTTAAAAAATTATTGGAAAATGTCGTTTAAATTTATATATAATTTTACCTTTAATTTTTTAAAAACGTATGTGCACGGAGGGTTAATAGATCGGAGCACGAAGGGAGAGCGAGATATATCTTCGTAACGAGTTTCGAGATCCGCGAGCGATTTTCAGGCAATTGTTGAAAACTCTAAAATATCTTTAATTTTCCCAATGTTCGAGGTCTCGATAATCGAAGTATACGTTGATTTTTCCGAATTTTTCCGTTCGATGGTCTTATAAGCATTCTGTGTTGCAAAGAAAGCGAACGGCTCAAACCATGTATTCACAATAACCCTGATGTTCATGAAATATTATTTTCCAGCGAACGACTCTTAGAAATAAGTTCAATGTAAAATCAAACCTACGTGACCTACGCTTTTCTATAGCCGGGTGGCGTTAAAAGCGTCATCGACCCTGAAAAAAAGATTTCGACCATTATTTCAGCTCAATTTTTCACTGCCACGAAGAAGAGCCAAATATTTTTTGCACGTTCCGATACGATTTCTATATTTTATATCGTAACAATTTTCGATATTTTACAGGCACGTCTCGACGTACCGTAAAACCGGCGTTAAAGACTACTTAAATAAAATTCGCGAGAGAGGTTCGCACTATACGCTCGTTTTGCAGAATAGATTTTGCGGAATAAAAAGTTGGCGCAAGAGAAAAAAAAGTAATCTCTTACTCTAACATAAGCACACAACTTTCCTTGACGATACGATTACGTTTATGCACACGCGCGGAAATATTATTATATTTGTATACATAAAAGATTTGCAATATTCCTACGCTGCGTCGTGCATTTGCGAATATATGTAATGCGCGTTCGGTGACGCGAACGCTCGTGAATGGATGCGCCGAAGGCAAACGAGGGAGGACAACGCGTTTCCGGCGCTCCATCGTCGAGAGACATCGACGAGGAGGGCACTAACGTAGGGACGTATCTAATTTCGTAAGTTCGAAAACCAACCGAAATATCCGGGGGAAAACAACTTTGTGAATTTTCGCTTTATCTTCATCGAACTTTGCAAATCGAAGAGCTTCTTCGCACGACACGCGCGACATAACCGCTCGCGCGGTCTCGCGCAACAAGGCTCTACCGAACGATAATCTCATTTCTTGTGAAATCCTTGTTTCGCCCTGCTCATTTCGCACGCTACCTTTTTTTATTTACGATCCGATTACAATCTCCACGTCGAAGCGCGACGATAGCATTTTGCGCGCGTCTTTCGCGAAAGATGCGACACGTTTACTTTTCCTATATCGTCATTTTAATGAAAGAAATTTTTGCTCTCTCATTTTTTGAATTTTACGTAAAAGACCTAAAAAAATTAATCAGTAGTAAACGCATGCAAATATATTGCACAATGACGAGAGAGATGCGGAAAATGACTGAAAAAAAATATATATTATATATTATGGAAATTTTCATTAAAGTGACGATAGCATCTATTTTCATGTATTTATATACCTTCGTATATTTTATGTGTAAGTTACAACACGCTTTCCATTTCCTGCCAAATTCGTATTGCGATATCGCCGAGAATCATTAAAACAGCGTGGACGCAGTGTGCAAAACAACGCCTAAGTTTAGAATCATTGCATATATTTTCTCACCCGTACAATCGATCTGGGGGCTTTCCCCGTGATTTGCGATTCCCGGTTAACTCTAACTGTACTGAGGCGAGCCATCGGATAAATCTTAAGTAGCGTATTTGTAATTAAAATGCATTGTAAATGTGTCGGGGTTCAAGTATCATAGGTAGTTTCGTGCGGAAGAAAGAAAGAGAGAGTATTAAAAGGCCGTCGCGCGATAGAAGCGGGACGGCGAAAAAAAATGTATATTTTACGATATGACCGTCATACTAAAAATCATTAACTGTAACGTTATCGTATCGCTAGTCAGTCGACGCATTTTCGAAAAAAAGTAAGAGAAGGAAGGAGGAAAAACGGGAAGGGAGCGATGAAGAGCGTAGAAAGCGAGGAGCGTTCGAGTAAAATTAATCGAGATATTAAATTATTGTACAAAATTGAGCGCCGGTAGTTCATAAGGCCTATTATATCGTTTTTCCATTTCGTATCGATTGCGCACGACTACGCGCTTGTGAACGATGATACGTATCGAGCGAGACGTGTGAAGGGAAAACGTTTTTATAAGAAATATAAGTTCACAATATTAAGTACGATCGAATCTCGCGAAGAGACGTTCGTTTGCGCTCTCCCCATAAAGATATCGAATAGAGATATTGAGAGAAGCTTCCCCGATAAAAATACGAATAAAAATAAAAATCTCGAACCAATTGAAGATGCGGACGCAGAACCACTTATACCGTTCCCGTCTCTCTTTCAGTATTCCTGACATTCCTCGTGAAAATATTTTCCTATTACGTAACGTATCTATTCTACTTATAATATCGCGTATGTCTCATTCCCCACGTGCGTCTCGCTCGAATATTTCATCCTGACTCGACTCCCCCCTCCCACCCCCTTGAATCGGCCGCGGCGCAGCGTCAAAAGGCGCCGCGCTACCTCTCTCTCGTCTCATATCTCGTCATAACACACGACTCATCCGAGTTCCTTCTGCCGTTCGAGAGATAAGCTCGAGTTCTGCCATTCGACCGCGAGCTCGCGACGCCGTTATCGGGCGGTGACAGGGTGTCGATTGACGAATTCCGCGTAAGTACTTAGCGGCGCGCAATGCAATCTCTCTCGCCGGAGGTGCCGGTGTGCCAAGCACTGGCGCTTATCGCCCGCCACTCGATAAACTTAGTATCAATGCGCGTTCTGTGCCATTGTGATCGCGATTCCCGGGCGTTGGTATGGATATATGATAAACGGGTGGACTTAACGCCTCCCCCCGTGAAAAGGCAAGCATAACCGGTCGATCCTCCGTAACGCGCGAATCCGGCGCGACCTTTATTTATCTCTGGAGAAATCGGGATTCTCTTTGTGATCTGTTATTTTATTTTATTTTTTTCTTTACGTGACTGTGTAGATGTAACGGCGATCTCTCGCGAATCTTATGGACGATAGTTTCGAGTTTGCATCAGTCCTGTCTCGCGCACGTGTGTTCTATTTTTGAAAAATGTAAAAATTGCGAGAATATAGTTTTTTTCGTGCTATAAAGTACTCGATTCAATATACACACATTCGATCTAGGAGGAAAGTAATTTCGCCCATGTGAACGATTTGCGAACGGTTAAACGAATTTCCCTTCGTTAAAAGTACCCCATGTATCGAATTTAACGACCTAATCTTATATTGTGATATATTATATATATATTATAGTGCTTGAGTTGCACTTGAGTAAAGCTTGAGTGGAATTGTGGGTTTTCATCGGATGAATCAGACGGTATGCACATTCCATGAGAGATCGTATATCATTAGGGTGATATTTCGCACTTCTCCAAGATGGCGGAACTTAAAGCTTCTTCTATCGATCGATATTTTTAAGCGATTGTGTAATTCTTCGATCTCGTCTCCCACGCACTTTAGATTTCGGAGGGCGGCAATCATAGAGGATCGAGATCTGATCGGCGGACGAGCCGGTACACGTACACACGACACACACACACACAAACGCATACTCATACAAATGCACGCGCAACACACTAACACTGTACATTCGTGTAAAGCATAGCGAAGCCTTATTGAGAAAGCAATATTCATCCTTAAACCGCTTAAAGTATTTTCAAGCTGCTAATCTATCGAGCGATTTCTTCCTACGCTAGATAAAAGGGAAGAAAAGGAGACGTCTCTCCTTCGAGGCGAACGGGAAAGACTCGACGATCGCGGATCGATCGGCGATGGTCCGAACTCGTGCGAGATGACTGGAGGCTGGCGAACCCACGGAGTAACGCGATCGCGATCGCGGATTATCGGGAAGACGTTCCTTCGAATCACGGTTACGGTTATCGCGGACGACGGCAACGGCCGGCGTCGAGCTCGTATAGAGTTTCCCCCCTTTGATTTTTCCGCGCATTTTTCTAAATTATTATACTGCCCCGCATGCTCGGAAAGAACGACCGTGCTATCGTCCGGGACGAATTATGGCGGAAATAAAATAAAATAAAATAAAATAAGAAGAGGAGAACACCCGCACAACTTTCCGGACCGTATACGGCGTTAGAATTGGATTGGAAGGACAAGTTTAATTACCGGGGAGGCGAACTCTCCCGCGTTTGCTTAAACACGCGCGAAATTTCGTTCGCGCGTAAAAAGCGCTTCGCGACTGAAAAAGTTCGCGACTGAACGGCCGCGCGTTTACCTAAGGCACGCTGAAAAATAAGGAGGGAACAAAAAAAAGTGCGAGCCAAGTGAAAACTAAATTAGACTTGAGTCGCCGCTGAGGAGGAGGGGAGGGGTAGATAAGGTATACCTGTAGAAATATCCACGGAAAATGCTCGAGAGAAAATCTGGGGGAGAATCATCTCTTTAGAGTGCGTTTTTCTTCTTTTTCAACGCGATAGATGCGATCGAAATTCGCGAGTTCTCTCTCTCTCTCTCTCTCTCTCTATCTATCCCTCTTTTCCTCTCCGAGAATGATCCGCGTGCAATTGCGATTCGTTTATTAATCGATAACCGCTCTCGTGCGTCCGAGAGTCGACACTTCTGGCCGCAAAACGGCAACGCGCGGTGGAATGTTCTTTTTTTTAAATATATATATTATTAAACGGGCCGCGTCGCGTTCCCCAGAGAAGGGTCAGCGGCGTAATTTCCGGGTCGGGAGCGGTTATCACTTTCGCGCGCGCCATATATCTAACGCCACTAGTCGTCTCGCGGATTAATCGCGGTCGTCAACGTCGTTACACCGTGGGTACAAGTGGCACAGCTTCCCCGCGACTCCCCCCCCCCGCTGTAAATACACCCCCGAGTTGCTCTCCCGAGGGTGGTAGACGGTCCGCATTCTCGCCGCGCGTTGCTCAGTTCCTTACGAAAGTCCTCGTGCCGATTCCCCGTCGTATCAAGAACGCGCAAAAATTCTTTTTTTTCCTTCTTATCAAATAAACGGAATTTCGAATTTAATTCGACGCGATCGAGACCTCGCGATAGAGCTGGAGAACCCTATTTCTCGGGCCGTACATGTCGAGTAGCAAACACGCTAATCGCTGAACAATGAATTTCACTTTTTCCCCCGATTTTCATCTTAACGAGAAAAAGTAAATGAGAATTCATCAGGCGGAGAATAGATTCGAAGTAAATTCAACTTAAAATAGAACGCGACCGCGCCGGGAGGATGCGGGGCGACACGCACACGCACACACACAACACGCGTTTAATGAAATTCGCATTTGTCGCCTATACTCAATTTTCTCTTCACTTAACGAGGATCCTTCATTAAGGTGTGTACCATAGAGACGAGTACGGCGCAGGTATTTCACGTCCCCGCTGATCTCGCGGCCTTCTTTTCATCCGCTTTTCGGTGGAGGAGGAACCGATCCGCCTGTCGCGATCGGCCTGTGTAAATATTATTCGTCGCATTTGCGGGTGAGGATAAGGGAAAAGAAGGCAAGCGAGAAAGGCGCGTGGTGCGCTCGTGTTTTTCGGCATGGAAAAGGACGAGCGAACGCGTACTCCGGACTCGTCGAACCGAGCGAAAAGAGGAAGTTCCCGGGCCATAACATAGGTCATTAATAATAACATAATAATAATAGTAATAATAATATTAATAGGGATATTCCAGTTATTTTGTACATAAACAACTTTATCAACGGATATTAAAAAGTCATCAATAAATCTATATATAAAAAAAAGTGTTTGAAGTCCTGTTGTAAATGTATCTCCTCTATCCGTCCCTCATTTAATTCCCGAATTTTCAAAACCACTCATAAACGGCATTATTTTAATCGCAGATTTCCGAATATTTCAAATGACTTGTTTTATTCCGCTCGCAACTCTGCCGAGAAATGCGGTTTCGTACAAACAGAACCACGCATCACGCAAACGCTGTTCTCCAGCACGGTAAGCACGGCCGGAATATTTGTTGCTAAAATTGCCCGAGTCAATGTTCGCATCTGTGTTTGGCGGTGCATTTAATGCTAGATATGACCACCTATGTAATTCGGAATTTCATATATCTAATATGGTAATCGCATTCAAACGTAAACACACGAAGGGACTCAGACAGTTTACACATCTGGCATAATGCGGTTTGCGTAGATACCAAGATCACGATGGATGGTAAACATACAATAGGAATCGGGCAGTCAGATTTAATGCTGAACGCGCGTTTAACGTATCTACGGATCAGCGCTTCGCCTTTATCAAAGGAATCAAACCTCTGCTCTTATCAACGCCGTACGTGTTCTGAACTCGAGAATAAAAACGCGAAGATCCATTCAAGCGATTCGTTGCGAATAAACGTTAAATTTTCCGTGCGAATAAATCCCCGTGCGATGTCGTAAATGAGAAGTGGGACGCTATCCTATATTTTGTATAATTTCATTACGATAGGATCGTCAGGTCTCGGTCGGCGTCGAGCGAAGTTGTGTATGCACAGTAATAATTCGCGTGGAAAAAGCATCTTCCAACGTAGCTTCAAACATTGACTTTTATTAAAAGGATCCGATAACAACATAAATCAATACGCGCATACAACTGTAAATACAACCCTAATTATATACAAAAGCTATAGCTCTTATCGTTCGGTAATTTTATTTAACGCTTTGGTACACTCCAGTTAAACACACTCGCGTATAAATAAAATTTTAAATACAAAACATCATGAATACACGTATATCCATAATTCATATGTGATATATCCATATCCATGTGTGATATGTGTGACGTATACAATATACAAAATAATCGCATGTAACTTCGGAATGTAAAAAAAAATTAATCGCATATAACTTCAACAAATGTAGTGAAAATTAAATTGGTTTGATTTTTGAACAGATACTTTTGACAAAAAGTTTTGTTTTGCGTGATACGTTTAAATATATAAATAATAACATAAATGATTAAACAAATCGTATTTATAAGCCGGTTTTTCTTCTTGTTCTCCTTTTTTTGTGATTAATAGAGAAGTAACTTTACAAATGACATTTATTGGATTTGGTCAACGTTCTAGTACATTTGAGACTTCACCGGCTCTAACGGCAATTACGAGACGCAAGTTACACACCATTTCGCGCAAACAAGTTACATCACAATTGTAATCGCATAGTCACAGTTCTAATAGTTTCTTTTTTTTTAGGAGTAACTAATGCTTTTTTGCCATCGCGATGCCCAGTCCTAGAATACTTGCGACACCGATAATAACACCTCCCGCGACAGCCATACCCATAAGGCCCTCTGCAAAAAAAAAAGAAACAAACGAGATTCAATGCCAATTCTAATTACGAAAATACCGATGATGCTTCCTGGATATGTATTTGCAATTTTAATTTAACTAATTGTTAGTCGATGCGATTAGTACCCCGAACCAATAAAAGGAGGACAATATGACACGTATGAAACAACTTGATGGTATTAAATATGGATTTTTTTACATCGTCGGTAGAAATATTTATTACTTATTATATACAAAATATACAGATGGAATACTAAAGATAGATGCGTTGCAGAAAGTACAGCAATGATTGTTAACGAAACTACCGAATCTATGCTAAAGTCCGTGTATTAAAATATTAAACTAAATAATCTACTATCCCAAAGAAGAAACTAAGAAACTGAACAATCATAAAATTAAAAAAAAAATGTTTAGAGATTATGGAAGAGGTTACGTTACAAAATTGTACTGCAAAAACATGCAAAAAATTAGCTATTTTTTTCCAAAGTTAATGAATTGAATTAGTATGACATACAAAAACATAGTCACGCTAAGTAAAATCGATATAAAATTTAGCGATGCAAGAGAGCAGAAGGATTAGTAGAAACAACCAAAAATAGTAAGACTGCGTGAGGAAATCACAGAAATCCCTTAGAGATACTGCCCCCAGGTAAAATACAAGCTTTATTCTTTTAAGCCGATAATAAATTTTAAAAGGGAAACCTTTTTCCATTTTCTTCCTTATCAACGTCTCCAGATGTTGCACCTGCACATTCGCGGGTTCAATCTGAAGGAATGCTCTGACATAGGAGAGCGCCTTGGAGTACTCCTGGAAGTAAGTGTCAATAGTCAAGGATCTAAAATTGCTTTACAATAAACTGACCACAGTTACATCCGTGATGTTACACATGTCTTACCTTTAATCTGGCATTTCCAATGGCCAAGTAGTACAGGCAATCGCGCTTCTCCGTATCGTGATTGCTATAGAGGTCCTCCAGCAGCAATATTCCTTTCCTAATGTCCGCCGAATACTTGCTCCTCACAAGGCACCAGGCGTATTCGAATTGTGCTTTTTGCGTAACATAGGACGAGTGTAACTGCTGATTGTACACAGATTCGAATTTCTAGAAACGTAATCACGACATTGTCACAACATGATGCAACATTCATGTACTTTGGATTATACGTATCCGATATGTCCGGTGCGTCATTCCCGACCTCGTTTTACGTGTCGCAAGTGTCAAATTAATTACCACTCGTTCGCGGAATATAAGCGCACCACGTACCCAATGTTTTTACGGAGGGAACGTCACGTACGTCATCGAGTATCTGCTTCGCTGACGCAATTATTCAAGATTCGCCAAAATAGCTAAAATTTTGCATGAAACGAGTTCCCTTAATGCTCAAAGAAAACGACGCAAATCGACGAACAAGATACATCGTGTAAATATACGCGTAAATAAGTTTCACGTAAACCTAACCTAACTTTCCCGTCGCGCGTTGTTGTCGCCGCGTTTGGGACAATCGGGACGGCGAGCGCGAGAAACGGGGACGTCGGGGGGCAAGCGGTAATTAGCGACGCGATTATTAATTATCCTACGGGCGCTCTCGCGTTTACCTTTAGATCCTCGGAAGAGACGACCTCGTTCAAAACGTCCTCCATTTCTTTTCCGAGCTGACGCACGTATGCGGCGCGCACTTTGCCTGCTTTGTCACGCACCGAAGCCGAGAGACCGTTACGCTGACGCTATACAACATACAACGCGATCGCGGATCCCGGTACCTGAAACGCGGCTGCAAGTGCGGGACTGCGGGACGACCCGACGCATCGCAAAAGGTGAAATACGACGCGAAACTTCCGGCGCGATACCCCGCCGACCCCGCGGCACCCGCGCACCGCAGCAGATGGCGCGGTTTATGAATCTCGTCGAGAAGAAGCGTGTGAGTCCGCAGCGATAAATGTGTAATAGCGTTTCCCGCGAACGCGCTCGTCCGATTTCGAAAAAGGCGCCTTGACCAGTCAGCGAAGTCACGAATCAACATTTTCCTCTGTTACTTGCGTTATTTATCTCGAGAGAATGTTAATTTAAATTATTTATTTCGTGAGAATGCCCGCGAATCGACGCGCCTTATATCGGTCTATTACTTTTCACTTCGATATACATTTTTATATATAGAAATAAATTGGATATTTGTTACGGATTTGAATGTTTCTTAAAAGGAATGAAGATATTCTAAAAAAAAAAAAAAAAAAAAAAAAAAAAAGTTAAGTATACTCGAGTGTTAATATTTTAATATAAAATTCGTCGTTCCTGTTTAAATAACGAGTGGATGAACAAAGTATTTTTTGGATAAAAGAAAATAAAATCTGATTCTTTTTAAATGCGACGCTCGCGAACTCGAATACTCGTTTCCGAGTTCTAGAAAAGCATTAGAAAATATGTTGTAGCAGGGACGAAAGGGAGAAAGTTTCATCGAACGAATACTTATACGGCCTTATGCTGGATAATTTAATTACAATGCCGGCGAGTGATCCGCTTTGTGTCTTTGACAGCGCGCGATACGAATCATGAATGTTAATGAGCTCGACATTCAATATTAACGCGCGCTTAAATATTGCCCATTAAGCCGCAACGTTCGGACTATTAAATATACAAATAGGGGAATTCATAAATTTACGAGGCTTTTAGCGTGATAAAATTTATTCATGTAGGAAACGACGGTACAATGGTTCAGGTACTGACAGGCGCAAACGCTGTGATATTCTCGCTAAACATTGGCGAACATTCGGTTCAGTTGCTTGGCCAACGAGTACAGAGGCAGGCCCGTTATGGTGTAATAATCACCCTCTATTCTCTCGATCAGGCAACCCCCTATACCCTGAAGACCGTAGCCCCCTGCTTTGTCCCTGAAATAACATTCCTGCTTGAGTGCAAAGGCTAATCGCAACAGTAGGCCCGTTTGTTTTAGCTGAACTTGTTGCACAGTTCACCCTTTTCCTCTTTTTCTTTTCGTGCTGGAGAGAAAAAGAGAAAAGATTAACCGTGCGAAGAAGTTGAGCTAAAACAGGCCTAATTGCAATGCAATATCGCGATGCGATATCACAGCCACGCTCACATGGAATCGCCAGTTTTGATATAGTCTCTTATTTGCCTCTCCGATACATCCCCGAACTTCACTCTAGCAGACTCGTGAAACTGGAGTTCGGCTTTCGGTGTTTTCAAACACACCCCGGTGTAGACGACGTGTTGCTTATTCGCCAAGCTAAGAAAGAGGCGTCGGGTACTGCGTTATCACGTTCAGACGTAAGCCGGCTGAGCAATTATTACCTGGACAACATCCGGAAAGCTTCCGCTTCATTCTGAGGCTTCCCATAAATGACGTCGCCCATCGTCACCATGGTATCTGCTCCTATTATCAAGGACGGCGGTACCGGGTCTGCTTTTAAACGTTCGTACACTTCGAGCACCTTGTACCTAGCAATTATTACACGCTTTAGGGTCCTAGTCTCCAAAATCGTTGAAATTATGCTCAATCGACGCGTTTCCGCACGAAACGAAAGAATCTGGCAGGAAAAAGAAGCGTCGCGCTCTGCCCCGCGAAGCGACGGATTTGGAGGTTAGGACCTTAAATTGTGTAATTATCGCACCTGGCTATGTCCTGAACGTACTCCCCGTGTCCCTCGTACCTGGACCTGTCGAGGTTCTCGTCGTAGACGGACGGCACCACTTCTGCGTTTATGCGCTGACGAACATTGAGTCACATTAATGCGATTAACAAACTTACTCGAGCGATCATCGCGCGATTGTTCCGGTTCACAGTATGCATGTATACAGGTCGCCTTGAGAAAGAAAAGATTGTTCGTGCGATTGTTTACCAATTGTTTCATTATGGCGTGTCGCCTCGGGGAACCGCTGGCCAGGATCGTCCTGCCGCTTGCCAGGGCTTGGATAGTCGACTCCAACATCCTGCGCGACGCTTATTGCCTGACGATTATTGTTACTGACACCTGCTATTCTGCTATACAGCGCGAAACTCGCGAAACGTCGTCCGAGCTACAAGTCCACTGAGTCCACACACTCCACACCAGGTCCACACTGATCGCGATTCACGACACGCGACACACGTCACACGTGATGCGCGAAAAACGCGCGAACGTAAACATTAGCGGCGCGGCCGGCACCATTCACCGGTCGGTAAACGCGAGCCGTTGCGAGTCGCGAGCCATTTTACATCTCGATAATGCCAACAATGGCCGCAGAGCGCAGAGGACGTTGCAGGCAAAGGGAAAAGCGCACTTGCTCTACAATAGTGTTTTTTTTTTTACTTTATTGTTGTTGAATAATAGAATTTTGTCGGCCGGAACTTCGATATTAATTTTAATAGATCTAGATTTGTCGGTTTGAAGTTGAGGTACATATAAGTAACACAATATATAAGTAATACATATATTCAGCGTAAAGTTTTGTAAGAAAATTACAAGCGGATAGAATTAAATAATTAATAAGCCATATGGTCGGGCTGAATCTTTTGTGTCTAATAATAATTATTCGCGTGAATTTATAGCAAATCACGCGCCGTTATATTATCAGTCTTGAAACGCAGTCTTACAATAAAATAATCAAACTATATAAAGCTAGAATAGTACAATTAAATAATTAAATTGATTAATCAATTAATAATGTCGATATTAATACGAATCTTTAGAATATAGAAAATATAGGATATAGAAAATACGCGATGTGTTGCGAAAAATAACTCTCCATCAGCCAGGGGCCGGTGTTTGAACCTAACCTGGACCTTCCTACAAGCCGGGTCGAGCGTTTTTATAAAAAAAAAATTAATCACTGAAATATATATATATATATATATATATATACTTAAATAATTATGTAGTAAATATGAAAAATGAAATTTATGTAAAATACATACCGCGCAGTATCTTTTTAATATTTCATGTCATTGTTTTAAAACTGATAGTATCGTATAATTAACTCAAATTAATTCTACATCAATATTAACTCTACGTTACTTTTAAAATGAAAATTAATTTTATATTACATAATTAATGTCGAAATATTAATTACAAATTACCTTTATGAACAAAATTTATTAAAATATTTTTTAGATTGTTGGAATAATTTTTCAGCGCTTTAATATAAATTCTAATGATAATTTCTTAATAATCCTAAGTAAAGAGAGAAGCAAAAGAAATGGTATTAAAATTAAAATATATATAAGTAGGGCAATGTAACGCTAAGCTCGCTATTATTTATTCCATTGTTATCATTGACGTCAACATCTTTCGTTCCTTATTCCTTTCTCCGAGGAAAGATCGAAAAGATCGCTTCGCTCGGTTAGTGTCCCAAAAACCGCGTGAAAGATCGTTGCGTCGATCATTTCATAGATCATGCATGTACACGTACATATCTGTATTATACATATATAAATATATACATATATATATATAGATGCATATATGTATATATGTATATTACACATATAAACACGTATGTATATATGTGCATATATGTACAGATACTTAATTCAGAGAGATCATGTAAATGCGTGCCGTAATCTGGTGCACGTTTGAAAATATATCGGCGTTAGAGGGAGAACTGTTCTCCAGGCGCAACTCAAGCAGACTCTAATACAACGTAATCGGTAAATTACGTAAATGCCGCATGCCATGAACGAACCTAAAGGTCAGTCAGTCCGAGGCCTTACATAATCGCAAGGCGAAAGGTTGACCCATCTTTGCGCCGCGCAGCCTTCCAGCTGAACAAAGATTTAGCGGCATTTTTTTTCTCTTTGCATGTCACTCGCGGTCGTAAACGCGCTCCATCTTTAATCCTATTGTATTAATCGGTGAGTGATCTATAGTTGTTCATGTGAAAAGAGAACTTTTGGAAAAATACTGCAATACTTTGTTTTAGTGGATGCTCTTTTGAGATGAATAAGTAAATAACTACACAGAAAAAAAAGAAGTATTAAATCAAAACTTATGTATATAAGCAAGAATCTATAATCTTGGAATGAGATATAAATTGCGTTAAACGAAGAAAACTTACTTGAATGAAGGTATTTAATCAAGTATATATAGTTTAATCGAGAAAAAAAGTTAAAATAAAAAGTTGAAATTCTTGTAAGAAGATTATAGATTCTTGCTTATATGTATACAAGTACATAAGTCTTGATTTAACACTTCTTTTTTTCTGTATGCGTGACATTTTAATATTTTTAATTTTTAGCACATATATATTAATTTGCGATAATATTCGTGAAATATAATACGGAGTTTCTCAACGAATAATCACTTTTTCTCTCGTTGAGAGAGAGAGAGAGAGGGGGGAGGGGTGAAAGAGATAATTTTGCTGAAATAGCGTTGCATCGGATTCCGACAGATTTGTTTAATTGCATTTGTTTTCTGAAATTCGGTTTACGCATGCACCTCTTTCCGCCAAAATAAATATCCAACGATTATGTATTCGCAATTATTCGTTCGGTTGAAAATCAACAAACGCACACGTTCGTCTGCGGTAAATAATTCCCGTAAACAAGTGCTCGCTCTAATTTAACGCGAATATGAGCAAGTAATAATGGCAGGGTCAAGTTTACTAATGAGGGTACGTGGCGTGCGATCCGCCGATGTTATTTATGAGATAATTGCTGCTTAGAGCCGAGCGAGGATGAAATATCGCTTTGTTATCCCTTCGATCGGCAGCCTAGGTCTTCAGAGCTTGATCTGTAATAATTGACAATCGTGTTTATATAACCGGCCGCGCAACGCGGCATATCTAAAATCTCGTAAATGATAATTGACCCAATGATGATGACTATCGCGTGATTATTTATAAGCGCGAGCTCGCTGCTAATTATCAATTTTTCAAGTCGGCGTGTTGCCGTACGCAAATTAAGTGTACTTATGACTGGCAGATAGAAGGATAAAAATGTTAGAAAATTATAGTGGTTGGGCTTGAAGGATGGGAAGAATAATATAAACGAAATCACGCGATGTTTGCGATCCTCTTCCGTAGATATTGAATAATTCCCATGAAAATATTGTTTTGTGCAAAGCCACCGCGTTAGATTCCGTCTCCCTACATTCTTGTCTCGCGAAGGATTAGAAAGGAGTATGCATCAGGATTATTACTTTGAGATGCGATAAATAATATATGTCTCTCTTATGTGCTATGAATACGTATAAAAAAAAAAGAAATGAAACAAGTTGTAAAATTATTCTCAGCACATTTACCTACGCGAGTTGAAAAATCGTATACTTTTCAGTTACTGACGGTTATTAACTTTGCAATTAGCTTTTCCAGGTAGATACTAAACGCTTAATTAATTAAAGTTTCGGATAAAAGTTCGGCCGACTATACGGGGGGGGGGGGGGACATAATGAGCGATAGAAGCAGCGAATCAAATCGTGCAGGTGTTAGAAAGGAGAAACACAAAATACATAATTCATTTGGGTGCAAAGTGCATCAGATATTTATGCTGAAGCTGTAAGCCGCGAGCAGGATATCACAAACCAGTTATTAAAAGCACTTTACGCGGCCGTACCTCTTCTCGCTTTTCGATCAAGCCGCCACGGCGCGGCGCAGCGGCGGATAAAGCGATGGCGATGGCATGTTTGTTTATTATATCTCGGCAGACATTCGTGAAATATCCGGCCCGGCTCAACCCTCGCGCGGCAGGTGTACGCGACGTACCCGAAGATTATTATATATTATCGGGGATTACGTCACCCCCCGGTAACTCGCGCGAAGGACGTTTAACGAATATGTAAGAGCGGTCAAATATAAATCGAATAAATCTGGGACGAAATGGTTTATGAGAACTTCTCAACGCGCCGCGGTTTCTCAAATTTCGCAAATTTCTCCCTTGGACCGTATAATCTATTCCACGAGGAGTTTTATCCTAATAATAAATGCAGGCAATAAAATACGAATTAGCATCTTTACTACATATATCAGATATTTAGATTTAAAATATTTTAATTTCAATCGACTAGTTTAACATTCACATCGTTGTAGCAAAGTTTTGTGAGAACGTACACTGAAAAAAAAAAAATTTATTATTTGCAAGAAAATACATTTCTTTGAACTTATAGTTTCCTTAATTCAAGAGGTAATCAAAGAAGTATTGAGTATAGATTTAAGAAAACGTTTTTCTGACTTTAAAATATTTTCTCGAATCTACTTAATACCTCATTGAATTAAGCAAACTAAATTCAAAGAAATTTATTTTTTTGCAAATAATATATTTTTTTTTTTCAGTGTAGCACATATTCTTTGCGTTGTTCCCTTTCTGCGTTCTTAGAAGGTATTCAAACAGCACGCAGCCAACTATAAATTATCATACGAATTGGTGCATAAATAACTATGGGAGGACTCACGCGGCTAATGCGCGTGCCTGTCTAAGCGGGTGAAATTAAGTTGGCCAACAGGTAAAATTACCGGCGCAGACTTCCACTTTTACGCGCTGGGTGAGAAGTGGCTTCTGCGTCGTAAAAAAATGTTCTCAACGATCGAAACCGATGCGAGTGGTAATTGCGAGGATATTACACCGCGCTCGTCGTGAATTGCGCAACGATATTAGGCTTCTCGAGACGACAAGATTCGCCAACCGGCGCTTGCAAACCGGCCGCCCATCGATGTCATCTCTCGCAACTATTTTTCTACGATTATATTATAATAATTTCGAAAGCATACATACACGCGAGAAGAGTAAAGAGAAAAAGAAATAAAGAGAAAATTTCGTCGGCTTGATCGAGCGCGTCGCGGCTTAATTCGACAAAGTTTTGCAACGCGCGCGCACGCGCTCTCGTGTAAATATATTTCGTGTAAATTCGCCGGCTAAAATTTATTCGACGCGTTCCACCGTGAAAATCCGTTAAAGTGTCATAAGTGTCCGCGCGAGCTGCGGCAATCGCGCCGGGGCTGACGTTATATTAAATGCAATTGCGCAAGAAGCCGCGCGCGAGAAGCCGCTCCAAAGGACGCGCGCGCGTTATGACACCGCGGCATGTAACGCGGCCTCTATGGTGCCCCGGCTACGTCACGCCTGCGGAGTGCCTGCGGAGTGCCTGCGGTTTTGTATTACATGTAATACGCCTGCACACGATCGCCAGGGGCGTACGTCAATCGGAACCCCCGATCCCGGATCGCTCTTCTTGTCCATCCTTTGTGCTTCGCCGAATAATAGGTTGCACT